TCTTTGTAATTATAACAGTTAAAAATAGTTTATTTTCAATACGAATATCACATTGAATTCGAATAACTATAACCTTGCCTTTTTTTAAGATGGAGTACAATGACAGTAGATTGCGCAAAAGTGTTGCCCGCTTGCAAGCAGCTAGTGATTGCAGTCGATAAACATTCTATCGATTATCGACGATGACGTTTATGCAATAAAGCGTAACCAACAATCATCATCGATAGTCTGCATTTTTTGAAGACGGAGATGTCATTTTACTCCGTCTTTAAAAAATACAGACTATAAATAAAAACGACTTAAATAACATACCCTTTGTCTTTAGCGTGAACATCAGCACCCCTCTGTAGTAAAAGCTGTGCTAAAGCTAGGCGGTTGTATCTGTAACAAATTGTATGAAAATTGTAATAATTATAAGAGACATTACAAAATGGGGCCTGAAAGTGACTGGTGGTTAGTTGCTGGCGGTACAAGACCGGGAGACTCCGAAAGAGTTCGTCCAGGGAAGTGCTGCCACCTTACCTATTTTTCCCGCCAAGCAGTAATGTCAGCATTACTGTGTTCCGGTTTTGAAGGGTAAGGGTGCTGGTGAAATTACAGGCACATAAGTCTGGGACAACCTATGTGTAAGGTGGCGGGCGCAGTGGCAGTGCCCCTCAGATCTTTGCGATTTAAAGCTCTGAGTGGCACTGCAATTGTAATGGACAGGTGTGTCGTTTACCATACAGACGCTCGACTTATATATTCTTTATTGCACCAAATAAATACAACAGACATATTAGATTCACAGAAAGTGAGCAAAGGTGAACTTATCGCTAAAATAGATCTCTTCCAGCCAACTCAGGGCAGTGAGAGCTAAGGTTATAAGCGAGCAATAGCGTGCAAGAGACAGTGCGGAAGAAATATATATATACTTTATTAAGTACATAAATAAAAATACCATTACCATATACCGATACCATTACTTGCATAAATATTATAACGGATCATAATAAATGGCATCAATATGTAAATAGTGTAATATATACACATAGGTACATTTATATATATATAAGTATGTAAAAATATACAATAAGATACTTATTCGTCCCGTCACTTGATATTATAAAATAAAAAATGCTCAGGGGGAGGCTGAAAAAACGAACACGGGAAATTTGTCATTTATGGACCATGCTAAGTAAGTAAGAAAATTCATTACTGTCCACTTCTATAAACTTTTAAATCTATCTACTAACAATGAACTTAGTTAACAGGCAAAAGAAAGACACATATAGCCCACTGCCCAGTGTTCGTAATTTCGAGAATTAAAAATACCTACCTGTACCGTGTACTAGTTAAAAAAAGAAATAGGTGGTAAAATAAACTAAATTGATTTGGTATTATTTTGTGTTTTTTCGTCTTTTTTATATTTTCGTCGCGGAAATTAATTCTAGTGAGAAGAGCGATAACGAAAATACAGAATGGAAACTCTTGTGTTAAATTAGCAAGAGGCAATATTAACCACGAAAAACTGTTTGGCGTCTACGAAAAACTGTTTGGCGTCTACAAACAAAGTAAGATACATGAAAACTTATGAAATTTTCATGCGCTGCAGAACCTCATGAATCAACTTTCGGAAGTTCAGCAGATTATTATTAATATGGCTGGACAAACATCAAATATTACTTTTGAAATTAATTAATATTATTTAACCTTTTCTATTAAACTCTTTAGTCTTTTATTATTTCCTCGCCGTCTTTGAGAAAAGCACTATATAAGCCTCAGCGGAAACGGGGATTGCTTGCTCTCGTAACTCAAACCCGTCCAGTAATCCCTTACTTCCTACTTACTTATAAGAAGATTATTAATGCAAAACGACCGTACTGCACCGTATTATTGCTCTTACCAACTGAGCTACGGGTCAAGTTATTGAGTTGTCGAAATTCTCCTATGTGTTTTTGTTAAAGGTCTTTGTAATGGATATTTCGGCATTCTGCACCGCTAGTAACATCTAGAAATTTTAGAATTTTTGTCTGTATAATCTTTGTGTCATCATCATAAGAAAAACTAGTAGAGTTATTTGACGAAAAAAAAAATCGATAGTACAGTGTATTGATTTGCATTCTCACCATATTTAAGAAATTAATAATAGAAATAATGCTAAATCATCAAAAAAAATAAAAAAAAAATTTCTGCTCAATATTCTGACTTATTGTATCTAGTAAAGTTTTGCAAAATTGTCTCAAGTCATATGCACCACACAAGGGTCACCAGCTTCACCGAGCGATACGTAATCTTTCTCGATCGCTTATTTACCTATTTTCTAAATTATGATTATTTACATTAATTAGAAAAGTTGAGTGAAAAAAGCTTTTTGTAACTTAGATTTGGTACTTACCAACTTTAGGTTACATGAAAGTATTGCTAGAAGTACCTAACTCCACAGTCACTGCAGAGATTCCCACGTGTGTTTCGGTTCAATATTAGACTCCACAACTTTGCAAGCAGAAACTTCGACACTCGTACCCGCGTAAACTAAACGTTTCACATATTGCCATAAGAATAGACACGCGCTTGTACCTCGACTTCGTTTCAATCAATTTTAAACAAAAAGTAAACAAACAAGTCACTGACTTGACCATTGACGGTTTGGCGATAGCCAATTGTAATTCAAACTAAAACTGATTATTTAATTGAATGAATCGATTGGTTTAATTGAGTCATACCAGCAGTTTTCCTTACATGAATAGAAAAATACATACCCTATAAAAGCATGTATTTAAAATTTCCGAAATCTTAATTTTAAATCCTCCTTCAAATCTTTACACTTAAGATTCTCATTCGATTGCGGTTGATATTTTCGAGTTACCAATCGATTACAAAAACTTTAATTGAATGAACGGAATGTTTTTTTTTCGCACAGCACTATGCAACCATAGACAAGTCATAGATGTATAGATGAAAAATAACCTCACTTTTGAACTACCATTTTTCAAATACCATTTTACGATTCTATTCAAATGAATATTGTTGGAAAAAGTGATGAGATATCAAGTTGAAAACTTCGAAATATAAGTGAAAGTGTTACTTATTCGATTTACTGAGTGATTGCTTTAGAATTTTAACCAAACAGGTTTGTTTACTTTTTGTAGGAAATGGATTGGAACAAACTATACTAACTCTTTTCTTTTTGCACTACTTACTCTTGTTTACAAACCAAACCAGGTGGCATTTCGTGACAGACTAGAATATAATGTACCTATGCGGGATGTCAGCGTGATGTAGACGCAGAACGGGAAGCAAGGTCGCATGATCTGCCAATCGCGCGCTCGATACTACACTTCCCCGCCGTCGCTACCCGCACTCACCACCAAATAGATCTAAAATGCGTTTCTTTCTGCGCATTTAAGGTGATTGTTCAAAATGTTTGCAAGTGCCGTGCAAGTCAATGACCTTTGGATCAAATTTGTTTACCGCAATTAAATTTAGTGATTTTTTAGTGTTTCGGATATACCTCTGTAAACATGGCGACAATGAAAATAGTTAATTTCTTAACTTGGTGGGTTTTGATCAAAAGAAACATACCCGGCAGCGAAATGCAAAGGTGTGGAATGTCGGCCGTCGACGTCTCTGCAGTTGACGAGACGCGGGCGCGCGTCGAGAATGGCGCGCGCCGTTTCGACGTCGCCGGTGCGCGCCGCCTCCAGCAGCCGCAGCGCCGCTGCGTTGGCGCACGAGTCTGCACGAAAACGTTTCCAACTTTTCAACTCTGATCGACAATGATAAAGATAAATTTATTCAGAATAGAATAGACATTTATTGCAATGCAACACAAAGATACAAAAAAAAATTATTGATAACACATACAAGCAAAACAAAATAAAAATAATTAAATTTTTATTGAATTGATATTCAATTATTTTTATTTCAAATTACTCCACTAGTTTGTTATAGTTATTAATACAAAGATCACGGCACGGTATGCTAGAAGCGTCGGTTCGAATCCGGCCGGATCGAAGGCATTTTTTTCTGAGTGTTCGATCTTTGTATTAATAATTATTAAAAAGCAAAAAAAAAATATGACGACTACAAATGTTGTAATGTCATTTGCGCGGTTGTGGCTTACGCAAAAGGAACTCATTCGGCTTATGCCACAGTCATAATTGACTGGCGCTGGTTTTCAATGAGAACTTGAGCCGAGATTAGTGATGGACGTGTGTGTCGCAAAATAAAAGAACTTAAAATAAACTACTTAAATATTTGTGTATGTGTTCTTTGAACATTGTGATGATTAGATCGTAAAAATAAGTCCCTGTAAGCATCTGAATCTATTACCTCTAAATATTCGCCGAAAAATCTTTGATATTGCGTATATTCTAAACATTATAAGTGGTAATGTTGACTGCTTTGACTTATTAGGTGATATTTCTTTCGGTGTACCTACTCGTTCTATGAGACACTATCACCCTATTGCAGTTCCCTTAGCGAGGACTAACTATAGACAAAATAGTTTTCTATGTAGAACTAGCAAGAGCTTGGAAAGTGTTGTAAGGGTTGTAACCCTAACTAGCCGTGAACAGGTTCACGGCAATGAAATGGGAAACTTTCGGTCCACAAAATTTATTAAAGAAGTAAAGTTTAAAGAAATGCTGTAACAATGTAAAGGTAAATGTAAAAAAACAGGTATAACAGTATAAAATACTCCCTACACTTTATTATTAAGGCACTTACCCCTAAATGGGCCGAGAAACTGAATTACAGAAATAGATACATGAAGGGTGTAGACTTTTTTTTTACTTTTAGAAATTATTACACATGATTAGCTTATTAACAGCTCTGACTATTGTGGCGGTCGAGCTGGGAGTGACCGTGGTACGAAAACAAAATGAGAAAGTGAAGGAAGATGGAACAATTGAAATTTAAATACAAGTAAAATAAAAAAAAATATACGTAACAAGAGGAGAGAGGAGGTGTAAGGAGATCACAGTCACAGTCTGCTGAGCAATCATGACCTGGAAGTTGATATATTCAATTGTAATGTTGATGCGCTAAAGCGTAAACTCATGGACATTCTATTTAGCTAACTTTATTAAATAATTTGTGATTAGCGCAGGTATTGGGTTGTTATATTTATGTAAGTGCATGATGTTAAGAAATACTGTTTATTGTCGTTTGTTTAATGCTTTTGTATGATTTGTTTGAAGATGTAGGTGGAAACCTGTAATTGGCTTTATGTTTATATTCCTGTTTTTATTAAATGTAAGAAGCTGTTGGTTTTCCATGAATAAATAAATAAATACATAAATAAACGTAAATTACATGCCTGTCCATGACAGTTGCAGTGCCACTCAGAACTTTAAATCGCAAAGATCTGAGGGGCACTACCACTGCGTTCGTCACCCCGAGACATAAGTTGACAAGTCCCATGTGCCTGTAATTTCACCAGCACCCTTACCCTTCAAAACCGGAAAACATTAATGGTAACATTACTGCTTGGAGGCAGAAATAGGTAATACTTGTAAACTCTCATGAATAATCCTCGACTCATTAGTTATCCAATTACTGAGCACAAATTCAATTAAATTGTAAATTTTTGTAAGTTCACGCATAATATACACTGTATTTAGGACTATGTTTATGAAAAATACAAAGAGGAGATATATTTTAATGTTTTTCATTTTAATTCAAAATCAAAATTGAACTCGATACTAGTGGGCCAACTGTCAAAATAAGAATAAAGAAGTCAATCATATTTACAATTCAGTCCTTTTTAAGAAAATTTTTATCTTCTTTCACAATCTATCGATAATACTATCGACAACAACTGTATGACTATTAAAAATTGTATGAAAACTGGCAACCCTACAAATGTCGTTTTACTCCGTCTTCAAAATACACAGATTACACATTCATCAATGATAATTATCACCTCTGACCACAGACATATATCTAGATATATGCCGCATGTGTACGTACGTACTTCGCGTGCTCAAGTAAGTGAAATTGACTTGCTTGCCGCTGCTACACTTCAGAACGCGCTCGACGGTTATCGTCGATAAACACCAGTCGAAAACGCGAAAAAGGCATACTTTGCCATTATAAACTGCAAAAGCACCATAACTGTGGGTAAACCGGGACGTTTCCTTCCAAGGCCAAGTGATTTTGTAATCAGAAGATGCGTAAGTTATTTTAAAAACAATTATTTTGGTTTTGTATGAATTTCGAGAAAACAAATATGAAACCGAGCGTATGCCTCATTTTTATAATACATTGCGACTTTTACTTGGTGCGATATATTTGTGATCCTTTGTTAATACACCATGAATATCGAACGAATGCACTTTTGTATAATGCATGCAGTTTCGTGGTACGGCCGCTTGTACAGTTCTTTGGCCAAATTTAACATTTAGTGATGTATACGTTAGGCAACACTGTTCTCGATTCTGATCGATTTTGAAAACAAAGGGACGGAAATTATTACGACCTTAGCAATATTATAAAAATATTCCATAACTCTTTTGTTATAACGTTTAGCAACGTTTCGTTTTTTTTTTTTTCAGTTTTGTATTATCTATAATCAGTAGTACCTGTAATTTCGATATTTTTTGCAGCACGTTGCCTCGAATGTCCGAATATAGTGAGCAAATAATTACACACATCGCCGGATATGTAGTATGAGTAATGCAAAGAATTAACAGTGCGCTGTCTTTTCAAAAACCTGGAGTTGGTCATATGAGTCATGTCAGCCGACGTGTTGCAGGGGGACGTGTGGTGGGATGGAATAGACATGTTCGGGATGCACACATGCGGGCCAGACTTGATTATCGACTGTGGGTGTCGGCTAACAAGCCCACATCAGGTAGCACATACGATCGAATGTCTCTAAGTCGTAAGATATTCAAAAGCAAAGTTAAGTGGTGTCAAAACCACCAAGAACAAATTAAGCTTGACATTATCGCTTCGCATCGTTTGTCTAAAAATTTTAGAAAATTTTGGAAGGCCACAAAAAAGCTTGATGTTAGGCCTGGTCTGCCTGTGAGTATCGGTGGGGCCACTGAGCCAGAGGCGATCGCGAACATGTTTGTTCAACATTTTATGGTGAAATCACCACTAGGCACGTCGCGGCGGGTGCTCGACGCAGAGATTTGTCAGGATGCTGATTTGGTTCGATTCACTGTCAATCAAGTCGCGCTGGTCATAAACAGAATGACGCGGGGTAAGTCACCAGGTCACGATGGTCTGAGCGTCGAGCACCTGCAGCACGCTGGAGCCCACCTCCCCAGAGTGCTCGCTTTATTTTTCTCGTTTTGCATGAGTCACTCTTATCTTCCTTCAGACCTTATGCGAACTATTGTAGTCCCGATAATTAAAAACAAAACAGGTGATATAGCTGATAAAGCGAACTATAGGCCTATCTCTCTGGCTACAGTACTGGCGAAGGTGCTCGACGGTCTGCTGAATTCTCGCCTTGATGAATATTTACATCTGCATGATGCTCAGTTCGGGTTCCGACCTGAATTGTCCACGGAGAGTGCAATTCTCAGCTTAAAACACACTGTCCAATATTACACGGAGCGTCGAACGCCAATTTACGCTTGTTTCCTGGACTTGTCGAGGGCGTTCGACCTCGTATCGTATGATGTGCTTTGGGACAAGCTGCGAAGAAATGGTGTTCCAGCTGAACTGTTGCGCATTTTCCAGTTTTGGTACCTTAACCAGATGAACAATGTTAGGTGGGCTGACAAGTTATCGGAGTCGTATGGGTTGGAATGCGGAGTGAGGCAGGGGGGACTCACCTCGCCCCGTCTATTTAACCTGTACATAAATGATCTGATTGTTAGGCTCAGCAACAAAAAAGTCGGGTGCCGTATAGATGATGTTTCTGTGAATAACATCAGCTATGCGGATGACATGGCGTTGCTGAGCCCGACGATTAGAGCTCTCAGGGAGTTACTTGGCACTTGTGAGGAGTACGCTAAAACACACGGCTTAATTTATAATGTGAAAAAGAGCGAATACATGGTTTTTGGGGCCGCCGGTGGCAAAATACCTGATTCCATACCGTCAATTAAACTTAACGGCAATGAACTGAAACGAGCTTACGCATTTAAATACCTTGGCCATTTTGTTACCGACGATCTCAAAGATAACTTAGATATTGAAAGGGAAAGAAGGGCGCTGGCAGTTAGAAGCAACATGTTGGCCCGGCGATTTGCACGTTGTAGTAAGCAAGTAAAAGTGACATTATTTAAAGCTTACTGTCAAGTCTTCTACGCGTGTAATCTATGGGCCAGCTTTACGCAGAGAGCTATAAGCGTCCTTCGAGTACAATATAATAACGGGTTCAGGATGCTGATGGGGCTGCCGCGGGCCTGCGGTGCCTCGGGTATGTTTGCGCAAGCTAGACTAGATGACTTTTATGCCATTATGCGCAAAAAGACTGCCTCGATGCTCTGCGGGCTGCGGGCCAGCCCCAACTCCATTCTGAACATTATGGCGGCGAGGTATGACTCGCCATGCATGCGCCACTTTGCCCAGGTGCTGATCAGCAGGAGATAATTTTTCTGTTGGTCAGACACTAATTGTTTAGATGTAAGTTTGTGCACTAACATAGATATAAGAATTCTATTGTTACTAACAAATTTGGACCAATGTAGTCTGTGAATTTAAATTTAATAATAATAATAATAATATGTATGAGTTCGTTGCTTTCGAGGACGAAGGTGGTCTAGTTTATTCCACCTAAGATGCTATCCAAATATGCAGAGTAGCAGTGTTAGAAATCCGAAAAATAATACACAAATCACAAAAATTTCACACGAGGCCGTCATTAAGTAAACCTCCTCTGATTAATAAGATTTTACTACATTTTGTCAGCAGTAACATTGTCATTTGTCTTGGTATTCATCAATTTGATCAATTACCAACAGAAAGCCATCTAGTAAAATTAATTAAGGCAGTCGCAAGTTCATATATTGACGTGCATATTCATTATTTAAGTTAATCGATAAGATCTTCTATTACAAAAAGATGTAATGTAATAAGCTCATTTTATTGGAAGGACAATAATTTCAATATTTGAAGTCAATTAAAAATTAAAGTCTGATTTTTTATAAGTAATCAAGATTTTTTAAAACAAGTCAAAAGAAAGGACTTAACTATCTTATTCTAGTATTTTTCTAATATGTTATTATTACGACTACTTGTAATCAACAAATACTTGAACAAAAATTATTCTATTTAGAATCGATTAATTGAATGGAATACGCGTAAACACGTCATAAGTTTAAAAACTATATTAAAAATATTTTGATCGAAAAATCATAATACAAAATTGAAGACTAAGTGTTAGATAAAGATGTATGGAAAGACGACGTGGCTCCAGAATCCACACAAATTTGATTCAAAGTGTATTTATTCCATAGCATTTAAGTTTACTTGAAAAGAACGGCCCCTAGAGTTTCTTGCTCGTTCTTCACAGAGAGGTCAGCGTAGTGAACGAGCAGTATCTTAAATGTGACGTTTTCAAGTGTACATTTATTTTACCTATGGAATAAATAATCTTTGACTTTGACTTTGAGTGGGTACAAAAAATGTGACACGCTTGGTTTTCATACAAATTGATGTACTTGCGGCGTCTATTTAGATATATATCTGTGCCTCTAACCCTGTTTGTTATCATAAAAAAGACACGAGTACCAGGCAATCAGAAATCTATAGAAGATAAAACATATCATCTCACCATCGGGTTGGCTGTAATGCGGCTCAGGTCTGGTGTCCGCGCCGCAAGCAAGCAACAGTCGGCACGCAGCTGCCGAGTCTCTTCTGGCTGCTAGAGATAGAGGACTTTCGCCACGAGCATCGCAGGCGTTTACTTTTGCTCCTGTTAAAAAAAATATACCATAAAGGTAAATGGCGAAAAGATGAGAACTGGTTCGATGCCGGAAGTTTATATGATCAATCATTGTCAGGGGTTGCGAACCTTCTTCGACTTCCATTTTAATTTGATAATGTAAACAATGTTTTACTACTACACTTTTGTACTGTTCTTGTACATGAATTCTACTAGCGTCCTCTAAATATCAACAACCTATTATACATTCCACTACTACGCTATAGTGTTGAGTTACTCATATACGAGGCAACTCGTTTGTACCACTCGCTTGGTTAGTTTGTCACAACACCTCATGTCATCAAAATGTCCCACCTCACACCTCACCTCATGTCACAATAAAAGGGCAAAATAAAATTCGCAATTCTTTATGCTATATCATAATACTTAAGTAAGAGAAAATGAGCTTAATATTCCCCGTCTGTTGAGTCATTGACGTAGGTGCAAACATTCTTACCACTACCTCACCTCATTTGAAGTAGGACAAAGTACCGCCGCATTTTTAAATAAATAAATTAAATATTCAAATTTTTCTTTGGACGCCATGTATACATCTATAGAAATTCTTGTTTTGACAATGTTAATGTTGTCTATATGCATTATTATAATAATATATACTAAACAAATACCTTTTATATTTACTTTGCAATAAAATGTAATGATTTAACTTTATAATTAAAGACAAAAGAATGATTACAATTAATAAAATCACAATTTGATTCTGCAAAGCCTTGTATTATTATTAAATCCAACAACTGCACAGACACCGCACATACATTTATTTTCTAAATACAAGATTATTGAAAAAATGCCAACAAAACTCAACTTAGATTATTATGAAACTGCATAGTATTAAATATTTATGAAAATGACATGGATACATATATTTAACACCAGGATTGTATACTTTTCACAGGTTGTAGATTGTTTACTTCCTTTGAAATAAAAGTATACAATTTTTAAAACGATGTCGTGATTACATATTTTTGAAAACAGGACAAGGTTACATATTTTTGAAATATCTAATGTTTACATATTTTCGAAAATATGTGAACGTATATATTTTCGAAAATATTGCATGCGACTGTACTCCCTCAAACTCATTGTAATTTCATGTCCTACCCAACACTACTACGCAAGGGTCTCCTCCGAAAATAATAATAATAATAGTAAAATAGTTTATTTATGTCAACTCATTAATAAGTAAAAATAAATGTAACTTCTACACAATGTTTAGTAACATTAGTGTGAGATACAAAACTGTGTATAGCTCAGGACAAAGGCGGACTGTTTCATAACGCCGCTGATATACAACTACAGCATGCCATGTTCATAAAAAGAAGAACTAACACACATTATCATTGTAGTTCTAAGATTTCAAGTCGATTATTAGATACGTACCACACACACGAATCGTTACATACATTTTTCCGTTACTATTACACACAGAGCACTATCCACACACAACTACACTACAATGCACGCCTCCAAGGTTTGCCTGGATAATAACCAATTAAAACATTTCTTACGGATAGCGCGTAATGACAAAGAAGCGGTTTTAGGTCCCCACGGACACTGGAAAGGTAAAAGCGTCTAACGTGCATTTGAAAAACAGTCAATAAAAATCATAACTCCAATTTTATTTGTTATACAGGATGGAACAGAACGACCGACAAAGCCGAAAACTGTGAATAGTCTTAAATATATACTTAATTGTACTGAAAGTCTTTTTGCTCTAAGTGTAGTTATAGTTTCCAAATTATTCAATGATAAAGATTTGCTTGAAAAGTCTGTATTGTCAACCCTACATTATAAAACACAGCTGTTTGGTGGCAACTACCTGGAGGTACTCAGGGCAAACCTGCGACAATGTCCGGACATAGCTTCCAACTTAAAGGGCAACTCACGTGGCCCGTGCGTCTCCTCGCATACAGGCCCTCAACTAGACCGCTCAGCTCAGGTCCTCCAGAGACGCCCAAAGGCGTATCACTGGCGGAGGGCTTGGCCCGGACGCCCGCCGTACCCTGGTCTTGCCGTCGAGCCCGTAGTCTCTCCGGAAAACCCTATCTCTCGGGTCGGTAGATAGGGACAAATCACTATCGAACAGTAGGACGGTACTATTAAGAAAATAAATGAACACTTACCGTGCCTTAATAACAAGTCCATAGCGTCCAAATGCGAGTGTTCCGTCGCCACGTGCAATGGCGTTTGGCCTTCTTTGTTTTTCTCGTTCACCCGAGCGCCTTTTCTTATTAACATCTCTAGGACCTGAACGGAAACGTTTCTGATTACTAAAGGATACATTTATAAAAAAAAGACCTCAAAAGTATGTGGAATTACATCTATTTTCAAAGTTTTATTAAAATCGGTTTTCGTCGTCGCACCCCTCATGGACGAATGGCCTAAATGGAGTTACGTCAAAAATGTTTATTGCTCCATTAGATACAGAAAAATATAACCCACATCCTCTCCAATTCTTATAGCTCCATCGACAATATTAGTCAATAGAGTTACAAGGGTGGGAAGTGACGGAACGAACAAGTCGTGCTTGTTTAGCGACACGCCTGTCCATAACAGTTGCAGTGCCACTCACAGCTTTAAATGGCAAAGATCTGAGGGGCACTGCCCCTGCGCCCGTCACCCTGAGACATAAGTTGCCAAGTCCCATGTACCTGTAATTCATTGAGTATATAACTAGAAATAAAGACGAAATGTCATTTAATTTGTTTAAAAACTATTCTGCCAAATCACTAAGGTGACAACTGCACGCCGATTGACCAGCCCGAATTCGAAACAATTGACGGGTGTTGTTGATCGACCAGTTTAACTTGAGCATTGCTATAAAAAATTTAAAAATTACATACTTAATTACCAATGAAATGTGATTTCGTTTGTTTTGTAATTAGATGTTTTGCTGTTTTTCCTACACCACCGAATGGAACATCCCCCCACAGTTAGAGATATTATCTTTATTACAATAAACACAGAATATTTTTAGAATATACGGAGACGTACACACAGGTCAGTTGTTGGCGCTGTACTATTTCAGCTTTCTAATTTGTATATTCAGCGCTCACGAGAGTTGTTATTTAAAATGATATAAGGCCCATTTGCCTGATGAATTGCCAGGGATGGATGGCCATTATTGCTTCTCTATTTCTGGTTATATACTAGATGCTGTAATTTCACCACCTCTCTTACCAAAACCGAAACACAATCTTATTATAGAACCGTATTCAATGCCCCTAAAATGAATTTGTTACTAAATACCTGCTTCCGTTTAGGATAGACGCTCGCTGCAGCACCGTGTAGCGGTCGGTCACCATTGCCGAGATGCTGGAACTCGAGTAGCGCCTCCGTAGAACATTCCGAAGTGGTGGTACTGCTACTCACTGACGCTTGGGTACTCTGGAATTTAATTTGAGGCTGTCAGTGCAAAAGTTTTTCTACATAACTTTTTTATAAAAAAACCTCCTCCAGACCTCCAAGTTCGTGGAATTACATCTATTTGTCAAGTTTTATTGGAATTGGTTACCGGTAAGTGCGCGAACCCGGATTCGTGCCCTAGTTTGCCACTCTTGGAGGTGGAACATTTTCTTCAAATTTAAATGGGATCAATACTGAACTACCCTCTTTCCAACAAAATCGGTTCACAAATGCCGTTGTAATCGCGTTACATACACACAAATCAATACAGACAAATTTGGAACCTCCTCCATATTTGAAGTCGGTTATCATATTCGTTTTTCATTTTTAAGTATAGTCTGTCTTTTTTGAAGTTTGAGTAAAATGAAAGTTCATTGTACAAAAGTGTTGCCCTCTTGCAAGAGGCTAGTGATTGCAGTCGATAAAATAGTCTATCGACTATCGATAGAATGTTAGTCACGCTTATGCAATAAGTAGCCGACCTTGTCTTTGAATAATCGGCCCATTATTCGTACAACTTCGTTTCAGACAAGTGAATTGTCAATGTTTGTAACTTCATACATACATTACATCTAGAACTAATACAACTATTCCAAATACAAAGAGGAGACATATTTAAAGTATTTCATTTAATTGAATATATATATTCAAATATATTAAAAAATATATAAAAACACTGAATAGCTACATCTCTAGCCGGGGCTGATAGCTGTAAAGGTATCTGACTGGGTGACGAAATACTTTCATAGATTTTTCATAGATGGCGCTACGGCTAAAAGTCGTTGAAAAACCAAATACAAAGACAACAAGTACATACAAAAATTCGTGAGGTCCGCTGGTTCGTTCCGTGGCTTAGTTGGTATAGCGTCTGGCACTGTATGCTAGAAGACATCGATTCGAATCTGGCCAGATCGAAGGAATTTTTCCAGAGTGTTCTTCTTCTTTCTATCTTTCTTATTTTATTTATTTATTCTATCTTTGTATTAATAATTATATTAAAAAAAAATTGCTTTCGATACTAGTAGGCCAACTGTCAAAACAAGACTAAAGAAGGCATTAACGCAATTAAAGTCTGTTCCAATTAATTATGTCTGAAAAGTACACAAACCGGTTTGGTTAAAATTCTAAAGCAATCACTCAGTAAATGGAATAAGTAACACTTTCACGTATATTTTGAACATTTCGACTTGATATCTCATAATTTTTTCCAGCAATATTCATTTGAATAACATTGTGTGTTAAAAATGTTACTTGAAAAATGTTCGTTCAAAAGTGAGGTTAGTAACCAAATATAGATTTGTGAATAGTCTATGGTTGCATTGGGCAGTACGAAAATTACTCATTCGGTCAATTAAAGTTTTTATAATCGATAAGTGATTCGATAATGAAAAATTTTATCACAATTGAACGAATATATAAGTGTAAGATTTGAAGGAGGATTTAAAATTAGATTTCGGAAATTAAATTTGCTTTTATAGATTACGTAAGAAAAAATTTCTAATCTCATGTATAAAATACCATATACTCAGTATTGAATCACATATTTTTGTGTAGTAATCAGCAGCGAAATCGCAAATCCCATTTTATTATATAAAACCCAGGTATTAGAACTGATTCAATTAAACAAATCGATTCATTCAATTATTTAATCGATTTGTAGTTGGCAGTACAATTGAATAGAATAGAATAGAATAGAAGTCGTTTATTACTACGCCACAACAAAAATATACACAGTAATAAAATGAAGACAAAAAAAAAGATGAAGCTACATTAAAACAAAAAATTAAAATAAAAATAACTGGAAAAAAAAGGAACAAAAATAACATCATACACATCAACAAAGCAAACATGAAATATTTAACACAATTAGACTAAGTGTCATGTGTGCGGCTGTGGCGTAAGTAACAGGATCCCACTCAGCTATTGTCACCACCGAGGAAAGGCTGTGACGCTGATTTTCAGTGGGCCCTAAAACCGAGTGAGTACCGGACGTGTGTGTCGCAATTGGTCATCACTAAACTATCTATGGTCGAGTCAATGATCTGTTTGTTTACTTTTCTGGTACATTGGATTGGAACAAACCATAGAATTAGAACGTTGTAAAATTCCGAATTCTTTGAATTTTTGGCAAAATTTTACCTTCTTTCACAATCTATCGATAAAACTGTTGACAACAACTACATGACTATTTCAAATTTTATGAAAACTGGCAATCACGCAAATGTCGCTCCATCTTCAAAAAAGACAAACCATAAATGGATGCTATTTTCATGTAGAAAAAAAATTATTTATTAAATTTTATATACATACCTGATTCTGACTGCTACTGGAATTAGCGGAAGACAGTAACTTTTTGACTCGTGCCGGCTCTGCAAGTCGGCACGCTTCTAGCAAACAGTAGCCCCTGTATTCGTCTGCGAAATAAAAGAACAAAATAGTATCAACATACAAGGGGAGGAAAAAATTATTGATCCAAAAAGTAGTGACGTCACAACATGGCCGCAAAAGTCAAAACTAGTGGTAAACGCAAAGTAAACCGCCTGTTTTTTTTATGACACCAAGTGACCGGACGAGCAAGTCATGCGCCTGGTGGTAAGCGACACGACTGACCATTCTCAGGTATTACGCGGCGAGTCGGACTGTCCTGAGCTAGTGGGACAGCTTGTAAGGCTCTTTGTCCCAGACATTCCTAAAACAGTTTTAAGAGCGCGACGTCGTGAACTATTCACAATCCCACCGGTGCGTACCGTATCGCGCAGGAACTCACCACTGCTCCGTGCCCTCGCAATGCTCAATCAACTCTTGCCATCAGCACCGGAGTGTGATCTGTTTGCATGGCGAAGGGCGGCTGTGTGTTGTGAATGCCTGAGATTTTGTGAAGCGATGGATGATAGTGAGTCAAGTATAATGCTATAGTTTAATTTATTATTTCAGTCTGTTTTTTTTTTTCATTTTTATTGTTATTTTTTAATTAGTTTGGTTTCACGGCGTATTGGTTATGGAACTGTAATGCCGTGTAAACATATTTACAATAAATAAATAAATAAATAGCAGTTGCAGTGCGACTCACTGGTTTAAACTACAAAATCTGAAGGTCACTGCCACTACGCCTCTCACCCAGAGACATAGTCAAAGTGAAAATCATATAATCATTACTTCATGGTAAGCAAATTACACTTGAGATCGTCATACTAATTAAACTCCATTGCTCATTCGTAAGGCAGATTTCCCTGAGAAGAATGAGCAAGAAACTGTAGGGTTTACAATATTTATTTCAAACTTAGATTGAGACTACCTGCAATTGTTAAACGGGTCAATACGGGTCAATATCATGGATTCTTAATAATAATAATTTATTTATTTGTGAAAACACGGGGGTCTACCACAACCTCTTAAAACAATATTACTGTTCAGGACGAAAAAGTGTTCGCGCTCATGTGATTTGTTGTGTAATTTATAAGATTGTGATTGGTATTTGCTATTGTTGTACATATTAGTTGTAAGTCTTATTAGAATAAGTTCTTTTTTTTAAATATACAGAGTGTTATGTACAATTTCTAGTAAATAAATGAGAGGCAGGCGGGTCTTGCTTGGAATCTTTACAGTTCTCCCGTCCCGCTCCTACATTGATGCCGTCCTGCTCGCACAATTAAAAGTACGGCAGGTTAATAATAATATAAAAGACGTAGCGTTGGCAGTAGGACGGTATTCCAAATCTGACCGCGATCTAAGCAAGATCAAGAAGCTCAGGAAGAATTCTCAACCAGGCATTTTCTCTGCAGTCCCACGTTGTCCTCCTCAATTGTGGGTCGTCGAAGGGGCCCACAATTATTTTAACCTTACATTGACTTTTCATACCATAACGCGCTTAAAGTAAACTTATTGTAATGTTAAAACTATGATGTTTTATTGGCAGCTTTGTGACTATTCATTCACTCAGTTCGTACTATGACGCGACTTTAACATTAAAGAGCAATATTACCTAATATTGCTCTTATGTCAAATTTAGCAATCTTAATATAGTTACACGGATGCAATGGAAACAATATTATTTTCAGTTTTATTGTCTTTTATTAGTATAAGTTGAACTTATTTATTTACATAAATCTATTCAATATTTTGTTTATTTTTTATTTAATAGCACATAGTAAATAATTTTACGTTAAATAAAAATACGCGATGTTTATTTCGTAAAATTATAACAGCGCCATCTATATGCCCCTTGGCGAAAGTAACAGTTGACACTAGACTATAGTTCCGAATTCACAACGTGACTACCAAGACTCAGCTTGTTTTATTTATTTTTCTTCATGAAAATTTTTATTTATTTATTTATTTATTTTTATTAAGCATACATTACAGACTAAAGTCATTGATTACACGTAATTTAGGTTAACAAGGGGAGTTCAGACAGTAGTCCACAGATATGTATACAAAGTTAGTTCTTAAAATGTTAACATCCAGTAAATAACAAATTATGAATTTAAAGGAATACTTAAACTACACAAACAACTAACACACTAACAACATGTACAACCAGATAAGTGACTAAGTACATGTAATATAAAAAAATAAAATAAAACAAAAGATAGATACAATATATAAAATAAAATAAAATAAAATAAAAGTGAAACTGCAACAACCACGACAATATCATCCAACCATTTTACAGATATCGCTATGGAACTTATAATAGCGACTGTTGAAAATGTCAATTACAGAATTGACAGCTGTGAGGTCATTGTACCCCCGACACATACGGGTGATGGGGTTAAAGAAGGAGGTATTGTTGCTGTACACGCACAAATTAAAGGTCCTAGGATTACGGAAGCGGTAGATAATGTTGAAGTTGATTAAAGAAAGAAGAACAGGGGAATCGATTTTAGAGTGAATAATTTTGTAAAGTGTAAGAATTTCGGATCGTTTACGTCTAACTTCCAGGGTGTTTAGTTTAAATTTTTCTAATAGATTTGTATAATCAGTGACGATACGACTAAGGTTGTATCTATATGATATCAACTTTAAACAACGCTTTTGCACACGTTCTATGTGGTCGACGTGAACGGTATAGTAGGGAGACCAGACCACACCGTTGCACTCAAGAATACTACGAACAAGCGAACAATATAATAAAACAATGCTTGTGGGATTTTTAAAATTTTTTGTAATTCTAGAAATAAAACCCAGCAATCGTGAGCTTCTGTTAACTATGCTATCATAATGAAGTCTGAAAGTTAACCTATCGTCAAAGTAAACTTATTAATAGTCAAATATTTATTAAAATCAATTAAAGTTTATTATAAATTTCGTGTTATTTGATAGATATTACATATATGTATCACTTGCAGTGTTGGTGAATACTTCCCATGTCATTTCAGTGAATTTTAGTACATACCTGCCAGCAGACCTTTGGACTTTTGTAATATTTTGCACTGTCACTACATAACGGAACAATTAAAACTTAATTATTATTATTGGAAACATCAATTTCGTCATGGCAACTTATAGTAACATCCTGGAGATGCAAAAGAACTTGGAGACATCATTGATGCAGCGATTTGCTGAGTTTGATGCTGCACTGAAAGCTGCGTCACCTCAAGCGCACACCATTGGCAGCCTCACCACGGAGTTCCTATCATTTAAAGATCAGGTAGGCTGCATTCTGCAGCTGCTTAGGCAGCAGATTTCTAGTCTCAGCAACACTGTTGATTCCATAGAAATGCGGCACAGGAGGAAATATTTGCTGTTTGGTGGTGTGCCGGAAGCAACTGATGAGGACATTGTAGGCACAATTGAGAACATCTGCCAAAAAACTCTTCATTTGCCAAATGTTACTCGCAGGTCCATTGTTGCTTGTCACAGACTTGGGGGGGTTATTGAGGGCCGGCCTCGACATGTACTGGTGAGGTTTGCTGAGCTGGACATGCGTAACTCTGTGTGGTCAAAGAAAACTGCACTGAAGGGCTCTTCCATAGTGGTCACCGAGTTTTTGACAAAGCAGAGACAGGCGGTGTTCCTTGCAGCGCGTAGGCATTTCGGAATGCGTAATGTCTGGACTGCTGATGGGAACATTAATGTGAAGCTGCCAAGCGGTAAGAAACACCGCCTGACCACCACCGAGCAACTGGGTGTGTTAACTGCGTCGCATGCCCCTGTGACGACTCCGGCATCCACCGTGTCTCGTGCGACTGCTGCGCCAGCGCCGGCTGGTCCGCCAAAGGGAGCCGCAAAGAAGGTGGGGGAGCGTCGAGCTCGGCGAGAAATTTAATAACTTTCTTAATTATATATTGTTACTTTGTGTAGTTTGTAATGTGCCCGTCATTTTCTTTTTTAACTTCGAATCGCAGCCGAACTGTACATAAATACAGATTCCCTTTAGTTTTCCACATATCTTTGAAACCTTCTATTCAAACCTGTAATCTTGTGTTCATTTCATTCTATTTAGTTGTAACAACTTAGGTACCGACACGATGAAAGTTTAATTTTAATTATTTACGTAAGGTAGGTTTGTTTCATTTTTTAATTTCAACAAAAGTAATTAAGGTAGGCTAGACACTCTGTAAAAATTTGATTATTTTTGTTTTTGATTTTGACAGCTGGTAGTAGTTCGGTTGCGTTCAGAAATTGTTCATGGAATGCTTTTTTTTTTTTGTTTACTGGCGGCGGGCCGATAACCAATGTAACTTGTTTTATGTTTTAAAGTCTTATAGTTTTTAATTTACGGTCGACTGGTGGGTTACACAGAACCCATACTTCGAAACTTTTTTTTTTATATATTATTATATTTTATTAAATTTATTTTATATTAAGTATTATTTTTTATACAATTAATATTTATTTATTATACGTCTATTTATACCTACGCAACACGTAATGTCAGATGATGACTCTTTTTACTCAGCTTGCAACTCGCCTTCGTCTTTTCTTTCTATTGATAGCTCAGAATCTGAGTTTCATAATACTGCTACCCTTGGCGATTCATTAACGCGCGAATTCCAAAACTTCACGAACTTTCTAAACGTCTGTCATATAAATGCCCAAAGCATCCCTAGCCACTATAATGACCTACTTGATACTTTCTCCTCTTCTAATATTCATGCTATTCTGATTTCAGAAACATGGCTTAAACCAAACCTTGCTTCTACATCTTTTAGTCTTCCTGGTTTCATATTACTTCGCAATGACCGCACGGGAAAGGGTGGCGGAGGCGTTGCCATTTACATCCGTAATGACGTTCCTTTCAAAATTCTTTCTTCTTCTCCCTCTCTATACTCCAGTTCTTTGGAACACTTGCTCATCGAGATCAAGGTAAAGGGTATAAAAGTGGCTCTAGGGGTTGTGTATTGTCCTCCTTCTATAGATTACTTCTCTTCGTTCGAAACTTTACTCTCATCTCTTAGTACTGAATACACTCATCAAATAATCATGGGCGATTTTAATACAGACCTCGTGAAAGACAGCATGAGAGCTCGCACTTTGAAAGCAGTGATTGAATCTGTAGCTTTAACCATTCTACCTCTTGAGCCTACTCATCACAACGTAGACGCGTCGGATACCTGGCTAGATCTTATACTTGCCTCCTCTATTGATCACGTGGGTAAGGCTGGACAATTTTTGGCACCAGGTT